GCCCTGAGAAAGTGTCGCGTGAGTGCTAAGCGCAAGATTAGAAAAGAAACAAGTATCATGTGTGCAGGCTGTGGTGTGGCTCTCTGCAAACTTTCATGTTTCAATGTTTATCACACGAAGAAAAACTAATAAAGAGGTATGGAAAGGCATTTATTGCATAAAATATTGTATTTTAATTAGTTCCTGAAAATTTCGTTTTTAAAAACCAATTTTTGTTGAAGTTGTTTAGGAAAAAGTAACTACATGCATTTTAGCGACATAAGGTTTAAAGGGCCTGCCAGGGCAGGGATGGGATTTAAATACCCTTCGCGCCAGTCAAAGAGTTAATACTGTAATTTGTATACAGGAATCCTGGTGTTCAGTAAATCTATTTGGTAAAAGGTAAAGCTATCCCTGTAACAGGCTATGGAGGCCCATAGGGTTGTGAGATGTTGAGGCTCCCACATTTTTTAGACAGCTCACAAATGGCAGTGGGGTCAGCCTTATGCAACGACTGATTGCCCCTTACCCCCAGGAAGATTCTTGGTACTCATTTGTGTTAGAGGCTGAGTTGACCCTGGGACCACAGTGTGGTTGGGGAACCTTGCAGGGAGGGTTTGGTGAACAGCAGTGAACAGGGAGCAGTAGTTCACAGTACGAGATAAATTGAGTACATTGAAATGGCATGTGAAGTGTTACATACAATGTGAGATTGGGATCCTCACAGTTTTGACTTTGAATTTCACAGTAGTAAAGGTTGACTCTTAAAGTGAAGGCAGTAGGTTCTTTCTGGAACATAGTAATGATCTACCAGACGGCACTCTTCAACCCTGAAGACAAGAAGCAGTAGCTTCCTCTGAGCTACCAGGCTATATGTTGTCACATTGAGAGAATAGCCATTTTCATCTCGTGACTAGAATGTCTGTTTAGTTGTGGAGAGTATTGTTGCTTAATTAAGTTTAGGTTTGTACAGGTGTCAGAGCCCAGTTCACATAGTGCTGCAGCCAACAGTGGATGTACAAGTGCAGTCCAGTCTCCAGCCAGAAGAGTTGAAGTGAAACCCCTCACTGATATTTCTGTCGCACTAGAAAGCATCAGACCAGGTGAGGACATAAATCATAAATATTATGTGACTTGAGATGGCTAAGTCATGTAGTCATGGTTCTCATTTGAGACTTGTGGTTAATACTTTCTTTCATTGCTATATCCAGCCAAACTTGATCATTTATTATTGCTGTGTCCAGACTTCTTTACCTGACCTCGGTTAGGTAATAAAAGGCTGTGGTGAGACTAACTACGGGGTGGTGCATGAAATGATCCAATATTTGATCTACTTTATTTCAGTTACAATACTAGAAACTAACATATAAAAAGAAAGACCATCATATGGAGATTTATCCTGTGTGAATCAAGTGTTCTATGGAGAATAAGATATAATAAAGAGTAATACAAATTATACTATAAGGAGCCAGAGATCTCAGTGACGATAAAGCTAAAAGATTGCAATGGGCTGGGCATGTACAGAGAATGGATAAGGAGCGTATCCCAAAGAAAATATTATACAGTACAATAGGTGGTAGGAGATGTGCTGGGAAACCAAGAACTAGATGGATTGATGCGGTGGAAGAAGATGCAAAGAAGTTAATGGACGTAAGGAACTGGAAGAGAGCAGCGCAGGATAGAGAGGAATGGAGGGACTTGATAAGGGAGGCCAAGGCCCAACATTGGGCTGTTGCGCCATAGAATAATAATAATAATAATAACAACAACAACAACAATAATAATAATAATAATAATCATGATGATGATGATGTTGGGCAACTTCTTCAACACAAAGTGTTGTTGACTACTCGATGGGACGTATCCCGAATTATGTCGTTGCAGACCTGAATGGTTAGTGCTCTCAATTCCTTTACTGTTTGTGACTTCTTTGGAAAATCTTTTTCTTAAGGAATCCACAATGAAAGTAGTCACATGGGTTTAAATCACTACTACGGTCCCCAGTTCTGTAAACATGCAAAACGATCAGGAAGTTGCTTTGAGATGACACATGAGTTGAAAGTGTCATGCAGAAAGTCCAAACAACATTTGCTGTGTGCAGCCTGGCTCCATCCTGCATGAACCACCGAGTTTGTAAAGGCAAACCTGTAGCAGGAAGTTGAGGCATAAAAGTATTGCCTGGCATGCTTAAATAGTGCTCACTGTTCACTGTCTGTTAAAAGAAAATTGGCCCAGCAGTCTATGACTTGAGATGGCAATCCACTGTAATTCTCGGTGCATGATGCACTTTTCTCATGAATCACACATGAATTCTCTGACGCCCAATATCACACATTTTTTTTATTAACCACACATCCAAGTGGAAGTGTGCCTCATCAGAAAATGAAACCATGTTGAACAATGCTTTATTACTTGAGCCCATTCAGAAAATGCCATTCTGTGATGTTTGTTTTGAACTGTAATTTTAGGCAACAATGTAATTTTGTATGGATATAAATTCAAGTCACTTTTCAGTATTCACTGGACTGATCATCTGGATGTCCCTAGCTGTGCTGCAGCGTTCCTTGCTGATTTACTGGGGCTTCTTTACAGTGCCACTTGAACATTGTCAATGTTCTCTGGAGAACACGTAGATGAAGGCTGGTGACGTTTCCCCTCCAACACTGAACCATCATTATTAAACTGGTTCTATGAATTGTTTTGAATGAAGGTGGTCATCGAGTTTGAAAATGGGCACAAAACCGCCTCTGTGTGACCACAGCACTTCTTGTTTCAGTAAAGAACAACACTGTTTTTATGCGTTGCTCTACAAACAGTCTTTCTTTGTCAGTTGTATTGTGTAGAATGGTGCATGAGCAGGATCAGTGTGACACTAGTGCGCTCAGGAAGAGTAAGAACTAATCTCCATGATCTACTCTAAGTGTTACCATGTTACAAAACATTGTTTATTACATGGTTGAATATTTAATACTGACTCAAATACTGGATCATTTTGTGTGCCATCTTGTATTTGTCAATGAGAACCACTTTGATCACATCTTTCTCTCTGTCTCAAGATGGCACATGTAACTACTTTTTTTAATTCCTTGTAAGTATGTAGATCTTTTGGTACTCTTTTCTTTGCTGTGAAATGCTGCAAACTGATAGCAGCACTAAAAGAAAAATGGTTTTGCTGACAGAACAGCCAGCAGCGGAGATGCTGGGAGTAGAACTGCTGACAATAAGAAATATAAAGATTAAATATACAAAACTGTTATTTTTACTCATTGTTTTATATGGATATAAAACATTGTCTCTCATCATGGCAGTGACACATGACTTACACAAAAATTTGTGGAGGGTAGAAATATTCACAGGATGGTGGACAAGTGTTGATATGCAGTCTGGGCAGACGTTGACTGTGACGTGTTAAAGTTCAGTTAGTAGATTGATCCAGGGCAACTGAATAATCAATATTGATAAAATTGCTACAAAAATTATCTTTTATATGGAAAGAGTTACAAGAATAGGTTACGACCAAAAACATAGATAGTAATCATTGAGGCAAGTGACAGAATTGAGACATTTGTTGTCTGTCAGACCTAAAGTATATAAAAGTTGGGTGACTGCATAAGAAAGTAAGATAGATCTACTTTCCGATTATTTGCCAAAGCTTGTAATAAAATTTTCTTCAGTATTTTACTTACCTTTTTAATTGGTCATTGGTTGAATCACCACTTAATCAATGATGTAAATTGAGGACATGTTTCAGGAACACAAGGCTGTCATCAGGTATATATGATGATTCATGTAAATTGGTGTATTGTATTATGGTATTGTCATGTGTGGGGTGGTACATGTGACAAGAATGATGGGTTCTAGTTCGGATGATTGGATTTATGAGAACCCTTGTTACAACATCTCTTAATTACACTTACATTACAACACTATTGCTGATTTACACACTTCATAATTCACTGTTGCGCGCACACACTACTCCTCTCTGGGTAATATATCTCAACACAGAAATTAGTGCTTCAAATCACTCCACATGAAAAAAGTCTCCTAATCACACATGATGTCTTCACACAATGAACTTCCTGTGTCTGTCACTTAAAACTCTCTCACTGTTACTTAAGCACTTAAACACTTACACACTCAAATACTGAAACCTGTTTTGTCTCGTAACTGTTGTTATATAGCCTTCGCATTGACCACACAGAAAATAATCTGTATTGTTGAAACATGTTTACTGAATGATTGCATAGCAATGGTCATGGCATGGGCTCCATAGAAAGCCAGTTATGTGATAGTTACCTCGCTAGTCCCTTGGTGCACTGACTGTTGCCTAGCAACGAACTATAAACATTCATCTTATTGTTGAGTGTGCTTATGCGACTGAAGATTGTTAACAAGTCGTGTAGAAACACTCTGGCCATCCATGTTAAAGTATTTATATAGCCCATGAGAGCTGTACTTCTGAAAATTTGATTATTGAAACTAGTTTAGTACCTGTTAAAATTTAGTATATAAAATGGTTTGAAATCTTTTTTAAATGATGTAAAACAATGAATTGTGGCTTTCATCTTTCTTGTGTTCCCCCCACTCCTAGGTGTGTATTTCATGGATGGAAGCATGGACTAAGTGTTGATTCAGCCAGTAACCTTTGAAGCTGCATTGAAGACTGTATTTTCTGTGTATATGGTCATGTGTTAGTGACTAGACACGGGGTTTGGATTGATAATTGGATTTATTTGACTGCCTTGTAACTACAAATAATTATAACACTTTTCATGCTCATGGCTAATTGGTGACTCCAACTGACTGTTGACTGGTTTGTCCAGTTGTCCCTCATTATATAACCTTAGCATGGATTGCATAGAAAAGACTGCCTAACTACAATACTTTGTAATTACTTTTAGATTGTGAGTTTTTATGGATTTTCCACTGTGCTGGATTCTCCTCACATTACTACAGATAACCGAGAGCTCAATGTAAAGCAGAACTTCTGTTCTCCACAGCACACCACTTCACGTGAAATGATGACTTTATGTTTGCTATGGTGATGAATCTTAACTCTCTGGGATTTGACATCATGTAGGCTGGTAGAATGTTACTGACATTTTAGAAACACTTGATGTGTCTCGGTTCAGGGTATAAACTCTTCTACTTTGAAGACAGAGGCTGAAGCAGTTTCCTCCAAAATATTAGTGATGATCTACCAGACTGTTGTGTCACATCCAAGAAGACAGCACTCCCCATAAGATGTGGGACCCCCCAAGTCTTGGTTTTTTGAGTTTGATAAAGCTTGGAAGCCTATGTTCATCTTGATAATGCATAAGAATTCAGTTCCTACCTCGCAGGGAACACTGCATCTCCATTATGAACCCCAACCAGTTAATGTTGTGTAGGGAAGAATCCCTGTTTATTGTGAAAATCATGTGGAACACATAGGTACACTGTGGGCAATGTGCAGAGTTCTTTAATGTTACAGTAAGTGATCCATATAGTTACCGTTGTGATTTGAAGAGTTACATTTTTTTTTTAATTTTAATGATCAGATGTTTGATGTCATTAGTAACTTCAAATTCACAGGTTCAGTACCACCACTGACTGTTCTCGATCAGAAGAATGGTATCACAGTTATTCTGAATTTTGGAAAGGATGGCCCCAGGCCAGATGTCTCTGTCATTGTTGTCACAACAATCAGCAAAAATTCTTCACCCATCTCAAACTACCTGTTCCAGGCAGTTGTTCCAAAGGTATGATGAGACTTCACTGGATTGTTTGTGTAGTGAAGATTACAGTCTTCTGGGATATAATGCCTACTCTCTTCTGCTCTGTAGATGGAAGCAGCAGGTTCCTCCAGAATGACTGTTAACAACCCACAGTATTACTCAGCATCACATCCCAGAACATAGTAATTTTCATGGTCACTGCTGTGACTGCTGCAAGCTTTAAATAGTAAATCTCCAGTAGGTGATTTTTTTTTTTTGATCTTGAAAAAGCGTTTGATTGTTTAAACCATGATATATTGATCTCTAAATTACAATTTTATGGTGGTAATGGCAAAGCTAAGTTATGATTTGAATCATATCTTAATAACAGATATCAGAGAACTCAGGTTTCTAATGAGGAATCAAATCTAATAAATCTTTCTACATGGGAAAAGATAACTGATGGTGTTCCCCAGGGATCAGTTCTGGGCCCTTTGTTGTTCCTTATTTATATTCATGATTTGCCCAAAATTGTAGATGGTAATGCTATAGCTATTTTGTTTGCTGATGATACAAGCATATTAGTCAAAGGTTCTGACTTAGGGGACTTTCGAAATAAGATGTCTAACACCTTCACTTGCGTAAATAAATGGTTCAAAACAAATTTACTTTCAATAAATGTTAACAAAACTCATTGAATTCATTTTAAAACTAAAAATAAATCCACAATTGATATAAATATCGTTTATAACAATCAACCAATTACAACTGTATCTAATATTAAGACCCTTGGCATAAATATAAATGATCCATTGAACTTGAAAGGTCATATTGAATGTACTATCCCAAAACTGAATTTGGCATGTTATATTATGAGGAGTATTAAGTCATATATGTCTTTCAATGTTCTGAAAATTATTTATTATTCATATTTTAATTCGATCATAAGCTATGGCTTAATGTTCTGGGGAAATTCGTCCCACAGTTTTAAAATATTTAGAATGCATAAAAGAATAATAAGAATTATGATGGGCCGTAGGAGCAGGGCTTCGTGCAGGAATTTGTTTAGGAAGTTGGAAATTTTGCCTCTTGCATCACAATATATTTTTTCACTCATGTTGTTTGTGGTCAATAACAAGGATCTCTTTATTTTAAATTCAGAAAAGCGTAATACAGGTACAAGACAATCAAATAATTTTATCTGCCCACAGTAAATTTTACAGTTTACCGAAAGGGAGTGTACTGTATGGGTATTAGGGTATTTAACAATCATCCTTCACATATTAAAGATATATCTCATAATCCAAGGAAATTTGAAGCCTGTCTAAAACATTTTCTTTATACACATTATTTTTATTCCATTGATGAATATCTTCAATTTAAGGCTATTGCAAGTCAATGACATACCAAAGAATTTATATATAGTGTAATAAATTATGTTTATTGTCACCAAGTTTTAAAACCATTAGTAATAGAATTTTTTATATTTCTGTCATAATTTAATTTATTCTATTTTTTGGCTTATTTCTCTTTTATATTTGTACCACTTGACATGTTCCATATCCTACCTGTTGTACTGTGGATCTATGGAATGTAAAATAAATGAATGAATGAATGAAAAAGAACCTCAGATATTGCCTATTTATAGAATAGTTTATACATTCTAAGTTGGAAGCAAAGTATACATACATTGTTGTACACATGTTTTTTTTTTTATTTATTTATTTCATGGGTTGGCGTGAGACTAAGTCCATTTGACACATTGGCAACTGTTTGGTCTATTGTGATGATGAGTGTGGAGCAGTTTGTGGAATGAGAATCAGCAGGGGAAAACCCAAGTACTCAGAGAAAACCTGCTCCAGATCCACTTTGTCCACCACAAATCCCACATGACCTGACTGAGGCTTGAACCTGGACTGCCACGGTGGGGAGCTGGCGACTAACTGCCTGAGCTATGCCATGACCTTTATACATATTTTACAGGCATTGATAAGAAAATGAATTACTGTGAGCTTTCTGGAATGAGGGCCAGCAACAGAGTGTAATGACATGAGGAATGTTCAGTTGGATATTTTGTGAAGTGTGTGGTGCATATTGAAGGTATAGAAAATTGTAAAGTATGCATGATAACATTCATAAATTTACATGGACATCTCCTGATGGGAAGACACAATCAGATCGACCATATTTTGATAGATAGGCGTTGGCATTCAAGTATACTTGATGTCCAATCATTCAGGCCAGCAGATTGTGATACTGACCACTACCTGGTGGTGGCAAAGGTTAGAGAAAGACTGGCAGTGATCAAACAAACTGTGTACGGAGTTCATATTAAGAGGTTCGATCTCAAGAAATTAAGTGAGGTAGAGGGTAAAGAGCAGTATTGTGTTGAAATCTGATATAGGTTTGCAGCTTTGGAAAACTTAGGCACTGAGGTGGATGTTAATGAAGCTTGGGAAACTATTAGAGAAAATATAAAAATTTCTGCCAAAGTGAGTCTAGGTTATCATGAACTGAAGAAGCATAAGCCATGGTTCGATGAAGGTTGCTCAAAATTATTACACCAAAGGAAACAAGCCAAATTGCAGTGGTTACAGGAACCAAGCGAGTTAAATGGGGATAATCTGAACACTATAAGACATGAAACCAGCAGGCATTTCAGGAATGAAAAGAGGGAATATCTGAAAAACAAAATTATATATAGATGAAATTATTGAGGATCATCAGTGTGGGTTTCGACATAACAGATCAACTACTGATGAGATCTTTTGCATTCGTCAGATACTGTAGAAAAATTTGAGTACAATGAGACAGTACATCAGCTGTTTGTAGACTTCAAGAGTTTCATAGAGTTTGGGGTATCCATGAAACTAGTTAGGCTGATTAAAATATGTTTAAAATGAAACGTATGGTGAAGTCTGTATAGGTAAACATTTGTCTGATATTTTTCCTATCCAGAATGGGGTAAAAGAGGAGATGCTTTATCACCACTGCTTTTCAGCTTTGCTTTAGAATGTCCAGGAAAAGCAGATGGGACACGTCAGCTGTTGGTCTATGCTGCTGATGTGAATGTACTGGGTGATAATATAGATACCATAAAGAAAACACAGAAACTTTAATTGACCCAAGTAAGAAGGTTGGTCTAGAAGTAAATCCAAAACTAAGTATATTTGCTATCTTGTCACGAAAATACTGGGCAAAATTATGACATAAAATAGGTAACAGATGTTTTGAAAATGTTGCACAGTTCAGGTATTTGGGAATGACAATAAGAAATCAAAACCTGATTGAGGAGGAGATTGAATATAGGCAATTCTTGCTACCATTAAGTCCAGAACCTTTTTTTTTCTAGCCTGCTGTCTAAAAATGTAAACATTAGAATATACACAAACTATAATTTTTCCTGTGGTTCTGTATGGGTGTGAAAGTTGGTCATTAATGGATGAGCATAGACAGTGTGTTTTGTGACAGGGTGTTTAGAATATTTGGACCGAAGGAGATGAAGTGACGGGAGGTTGGAGAAAACTGCATAATGAGGAGCTTCATAACTTGTACTCTTGTCCAAGTATAATTAGAATGATCAAGTCAAGGAGGATGAGATGGGCAGTGCTATTGGTGGGAGAGCCAGAATGAAAGAGACCACTGGGAAGACCAAGACATAGTTGGGTGGACAATGTTAAAATGGAACTTAGATAGGATGGGATGGTATGGTATGGACTGGATTGATCTGGCTCAGAATAAGGACCAGTGGAGGACTCTTGTGAACATGGAAATTAACCTTTGGGTTCTATAAAATGCTGGGAAGTTCTTGAGTAGCTGCTCAAGTGGCAGCTTCTCAAGATGGACTCAGCTCCATGAGTGATAATGATGAGTGATATGTGATAAGAGAAACTGTCCACCTCGGAGCATGAAATTCATGTAAATAACATAAAAATAATTTGTCCTCCACAATAAACAGTCCTCCTCCATGATAAAAACAAACCAGTTAATGTTGTTTGGGGAAGTAATCACTGTTTATTGTGAGAACCATATGGAACACATTGTTGCACCCTGTGGCCAGAATGCAGAGTTGCTGAATGTTAAATCAAGTGGTAGATATAGTTACCACTATGCATTGAAGTGTTAGGCGAAAGCAGTAATACGGTGAAAGCCCCACTGAAGTATTCCTTAAGAGAGCAGTGGATCTGAACAGTGGACTGAGGAAATTCTTAGGGGGAGGCAATATGACACTGAGATTGATTTGGGATTATTGAAATTGAATGTGAAGTGGAGGAAAACCTTAATTTGGGAAAGTTTAAACAGGTAATCCACTGTGTGCCTTCATGAATACTATCCATTGTGGTGGTTTCACACGTAATGAGTGTTGTTTCATTATTGCAGACATGCAAACTGCGATTGCAGCCTCCGTCCGGTTCGGATCTGCCAGCACATAACCCTTTCCTGCCACCTGCTGCTATTACACAGGTCATGCTTATAGCAAATCCAAATAAGGTAGGTTTCTTTTGTACCCAGTAGTGCTGTGTTGCTGATGTGTTGCATGTGATATTGAGTAAGTGCTGGTTAGTATTTTGTATATGTTTGATTTCGTTCATCCTGGTCAGTCACACTAGTAATATTATAAAAGTTTATCAACTGGACGGATTTGATAACCTTTTATAATTTTGTATATCATTCAGATAGGAAGGTTTGATGGAAAGAGATCACTATTGTGACGTGTTGCGCTATGGATGACCCCCCCCCCCAGACATGATGCGCCGAGTGGAGCCGAAGTTAGCCGAGTCGCAGCATACTGGTCGCTATGCAATGCGAGTCAACAGCGGTGACGTAACACGGGACGCCGCAGTTGCTAAGTAGCGGTAAACAACTCCCAACAGTGTTGCTAGGCTATCGGCTACCATGGTGGCAGACAGCAGTGGTGCCGATTACATGGCTGTTTTCTGTGCTGTCCGGAACGAGGCTAAATAAGGAGCAGTGAAGACTATTCACAGTTTAGTTCTCAATCTAGCCAGTGGAGAGTAATGAGTTAGCCAGCAACCAGCCAGTTGTATTCTGGCATTTGCAGTCTAGTATTTGTGATACTGCAGATAGCAGTAATTGTGAATCTGTAAATTGTGTGATTATAAGAGCGAATGTGGAATAAAATTCACTATATCCACTAAGGCGTGAAGTTATTTGTCGCGTTATACACCCAACACGTGACACTATATTGATGTAGGCATAGATGAAGCATAATATTAAAATGGATTGTGAAGAAATAGGGTGTCGGGGGTGTGAAGTGGTTGTGTCTTGTGAACCGAGTTCCATTTAAGGTGGGGAATATTTTGACCATGTGAATAGCTGGTAGCATCTGAAGATGAACTCTGCTGTGTGACACTGGTGAAAGTAAAAGTTAGCCCTGTGCTTGAGCGCTGTCGCATGAAGATATATGCTGGAGTATGGTATAGTTTCATGCATTCTTTACCCTCAGCACTAGACGGTGTGAGTGGTCAGCTTCTTGCCCTAGCCACTTCACCCCTGGGGATCCATTAGAGGAGACTTAGTAGGTACCAGAGTAGGTCTAAATATTTTGATGAAGAGAAAAATCTCTACCCCTGCTGGGAATCAAACCCTGGTTGTCTGGTCATCCAACTCACTGCCTAGTTGCTGTATAGATGAAGTAGCTGTGAAGTTTCTTTGTCAGTATGGTGAAATTTCAATAATAATCGAGAGCATTTTTTCTTTAAGGATCCTGTTTCACTCAAGTTTATGGTAAGCTTCACAATGGATGATGAAACAGTTACTGAAATGGGAGAGGCTGAGAACTTACCGCTGTCTGCGTGAGTTGGCCAATGTGTACATAGTGCTGGGAGCATGCCTTTCAGGAGGTTGGATGGTGGATGATTGCTATGGGAATGTGACCCTTGAGAACACTGTAATGTGAATTATGTGATAAAGCAGAATAAACACTGTGAGAAGAAAGTGTGGCTGTTTTATTAGACTCTTTGAGAATATATCCAAATATGTTATGAAAGGAAGTATGCTGCTGTGATGTGGTTAATATTAAACATTAATATTCCTGTGAGGTATGTATGTGTTTACAGTGTAGCTTCAGTTTAATGTATATAGGATGATTTAAATGTAAAATTTGTAAGTTTGTAATAAAGAAATGTTGTACAGGTTGTAATGAAGGGTACAGGGGATGTCACAGATTATAATAAGTATGAGGGATGGAACTTTAATAGTGGCAACTATTTATTTACAACTGATGCAAAATAGATGCTTGTTTTGAAGTTTTACTGTCCTTCAGTGTAGTCACCAGCATTGTGTACAACCCGTTGCCAGCGATGTGGAAGTCGTAGGATACCTTTAGCAGTGCCTGTTGTGTTGGTAGTTCGAATGGAGCGGTCTACTGCCTGAAGAATCTATGGAAGAGTTTTGAAGCGAATCCCACAAAGTGGTTCCTTCATCTTAGGAATCAAGTTGAAGTCACAAGGGCTTAAGTCCGGGGAGTATGGTGGATGGTACAGCACTTCCCAGCCCCATGGATTGAACAAATGAGCCACAGCTTGCGCTGTATGCAGCCGAGCATTGTCCTGCAAAAGATTGGTGGGTTGTACAGAAAGTGTCTCCGCTTCTTTCTCAAAGCTGGTCGCAGGTTGTGTTCCAAAAATGAACAGAAATACTGCGCATTGATGGTCTGCTGTTGGAGAATGGTATGCGTTAGGATAACACCATCACACTTGTACACGAGAATCACCATAACTTTCACATTGCTGGGGTTCTGACGAACTTTTGATTTTTGTAGTGACCCGTAATGACGTCATTCGTTCAATTGGCGTTTCATTTGTTGCTCATACAATTTGGCCCATGTCTCATCCAGTGTAATGATACGGCATAAGAAAGCCTTTCCTTCGTGCTCATAGCGCTCCAAGTGGTTACGAGCAGCGTTGTATCATAGCCATTTCTGCATTTCCGTCAAATCATGCGGAACCCATCGTGATGCAATTTTTCTCATGCTTCAGAATGTGAAGCACAGTCGTATGCGCTAATCCAGTCTCTTGGACCAGCTGACAAATTGTAATGTGTCGATCACTCTCCAGTAACGTGGAAAGAGCATACACTTCTTCACTGACACTAGGGCGACCTGGCCGATGCATGTCTGCCACATTTTGGTGTCCCTTGTTGAAGGCTTTTACCCACCTTGCCACTGTTCTGTAAGGCAATACCGATTCCCCACAAGCCTCTTGAAGACACTGCTGTGCTGTACGGCCTCTGGCACATTCAGTCTTTATCCAATTCCGTTGTTCCTGTTTCAAAAACATCGTTACAACACGACATTAGACCGTCAGCTGACATGAGGCTCTGTTTTTCTCGTCACTGCACACGCATGTAATGTGGGAAGGGAGAGTCCATTTGCTCTGAGGTAAGGTAGGTATGTAATGAACGTGTGGTATAAGCGACATTATTTGGTTCCGTTGCACGGCGTCTCTTCAGCAGTGTTGCAGTATTAAAGTTCCAACCCTCGTATTTATAGTGTTCATCTTTAATTTCATGCTGACAGTTGTTATAAGGTTAATTTTCAGAATTACATGTTAGTAATAACTGAACTGTTAAAATAATCTGGGTCTAAAGGGTTCTGATGATGGAGTATAGTACTCAGAATTACTGGAATTTTGGACTTTGTCCATTTTCTGGTATTCTAGAAAGTAGAAAACACATTGTTTTCAAAACTGGACCTGTTTCTTTCCTCAGGTGAGGGTGGTGGAGACATCCACTCAGTTGGGTCCATTAGAAAGAGCTAACCTCAGTCACTGGTCCAGTATCTGAAATGCTATTTTCTAGTTTCTTGAATACCAGACTATGGACAAAGTCCAAAAACGTAGTAATTCTGAGTATCATACATTATTCACACTATTTAGAACCAAGATTAATTTTACATTTTGGTTATTACTAATATGTATGCACTTAAGAATGCAATATTCTGGGTTGTAGCACAATGTGATTTAGTAGGTAGCCAGAACTTGCTGCCCCATCTTGAGGATAAAAGAAGTACTCTTTACTCTTTTGCCCAAAAGATGGAGACAGCAGGTTTATCAGAAACATTGATATGTATATACCAAAGTATACAGTGTACTGGCCATCCATTAAATTATTGTAACAGTAAATATGTATGGTCAAGTTGGCTGAGTAGTGGATTTTCAATTTCTACATACCATTACCCTGAGTTAAAAATCTGGCTACTGACCATGTAGTATTGGGATTAAAAATATTGACATTTCAGAGGAATATGTTGTCTCCATCTTCAGGGTTCCTCTGAAATATTGGTATCCATCCACAAGACTACTGTGTGGTGTTAATGACACAGAAGATCACATCTTAATAAACACTGCCATGAAGACCTCAAAACGTACATAATGACGTTGCTCTTATAAATGGGGAATAGTGTTACATATTTTGAATCTTCAGAGAAAATAAGTTCTGTCCATGTTTTTGCTACTTATCACAAATACTCACACAAGCACTGCAGTGTTCAACAGCTGTTGAAAAGTTCACACATCTTTTGGCTCTAGTTTATGGACTTGCATGATGATGATTTTGTGATGCTTTTCCTTCTTTGCTTCTGCAAGCAATGGTTTCGTTTTATGGGCTCCTATAGAAAAGACTGGAGTTGCACTGCAAGTGAGAATGATTTTTGGTGCTTGTGAATGATGGATCTCAAGTGTATCAGTGAAATGTAGAAAGACTTATGTGCATTGTTCCTTACTGAATCCAAATTCAGGCTCGGATTGTAACCTACTGAATGTTTAGCATTAACTACAGGTAATGGTACTTCATTCATTTTAGGGAGAGGTGTTCAGAGAATATAATTTTGTTAGTATGCAATGGAATGAATGCAGGGAACTTAATGACAGGACAGAGTAATCCACAAGTTTAATAAAATTATTGTGTAAGCAGTGAAAGTGTGTAATGATATTCTGTGAACAATTTATTCATTGCATACAGGGTCTTGCAATGTAACTTTAATACTGGATGTCAGGAGCTACTGTATAAATGTAAATACTGATAACTTAAAAATAGATTGTGCTGAATCCATGTTATCAATTCATAATTTGTTATTTGTGCTATCACTAATTAAGAACCATTCATTTGTTGTCCATAATTGGCTTCTTATTACTTCACTTTAGTCTGGATGGGTATTCAAGATGCCATGCAATTACCACTCAAACTTATGTCAGTGAATAGCCTTAGCAGTTCCTTGCGATGTAGGTGCAATTTAGAGTGCGGAATCCTATTCCATGGGATATGTATTTAATGCTATGTAGTCCAATTAAAGTCAGCTGACATTTCAGAGTAACATGTTTGTTGACTCTCAGAGGACAACGTGGCATTTTATCCTTGAAGGTGGCACTCTTCATAACTGCTGCTGTGAGAATCTCAAATCCTACAGGTGAAATTTAGTTCCTGTCAGCTGGTCATTTCACCCTAAGCATCTCCTTTTCAAGAAAGAAAAACAAAAAAGGTTTTTAGACTATAGCAGTAAAGTAAAAGGTAAAGCTGCCCCTGTGCTTCACTAATTAAGTACCACGCCATAAAGGCGTATGGGGTAGTGGATGTATAAATCCACATTTTCTTGACCTAAACACTAGTTGGAGGTGAGTGGTCAGCTTCACGCCCCGGCCATTTTACCCCAGGGTAAAGAGTCCCTGTTACCCATTGGATAGGAGGTTTGGTGGGTCACAGAGCTGGTCTGGACAATGTGGAGAAGACAAAATTCTTGACACTACCAGGACTTGAACTCTGAACCATCAGTTGTCCAGTCCGTAGCTAGTTGCTATACTGACTACCCTATCCTGGCTCCCCAGACTGTAACAGTAAGGAATATTTTTTGAAGTATGCAATATAGGTATAGAGAACACACTTCATTAAGAAATGCTGTGGAGGAAATGTTTGAAATCTGAATGGAGGTCTCCCAGTCTGGCTTGAGGATGGAATGGAAATCCTGGAGATATCCAGGATTGGCAGGAAATGTGCTACACCTGTTATGTTGTGTTTTAAAAACACAGCCAGATGCTATTCACTTTGATGTTTCTTGAAAACAGTAGTAAGAATTTGTGTGTTTGAATGTGTAAACCGTTGTACTGGTGATATTTCAATCTTGGTCACAACTCAGGAAAATAAAAATGGAGTTGAAATATGTGTAGAAGGAAATGTGATGATATGTATTAGATAATGGGATAGAAAGTCTTGCCACAGTGAACTTTCTTTGTGGTGTCAAGAAGGGGTACTTTGCCAAATGTGTCTTTGTAGGAAAATGAGAACAAATTGTGATTATATATGAAAATAGTATAATTAACACTGTGCTGTTATTAAGTATTAGTTTTTAAATTGTAGGTAACTAGAAGAAGCATCTTTCTTCATGTGGGGTATGGTTGCTTTCTTTTTCAGTACCACGGTGTACAGTAGCTAAAACTTCGAAGGAGGAATAATAGTCAAGCTAAGAAAATGAAGTTTAGTCATGTTATTAAAAAAGGCTGTGAAATGAGGATTTGAATCGCATCCAGAAAATACTGCAGCACTTGCATATCATTGTAACAGTCAAGGCTACTCTAGGGGAGGAAGGGGAGGGTTGAGATGAAATTTGTATTTTTATTTTNAGCGCTGACTCACCCGCCGCGTCACTGCTGGTGTGGGGGGGGGGCTCGGCTTTGCGCAACATGTCACAATATATTACTGGACTGCCTCTGTGGTTTAGTGGTCAGAGTTCCTGGCTACAGATCCACAGGTTCCGTGTTCGATTCCTGGCGCTACCAGATTTTCTGAGAAGTGGGTATGAAATGGGGTCCACTCAGGCTCATGAGGATAACTGAGGAGCTGTTTGAAGGAAATAGCGACTCTGGTCTGGAAAACCAAGATTAACAGCCGTGGGGACACCCTCTATCTGCAATAGTTAGCCCTAACTTCGCCGACAATTGGCAGTCGCTCGGTTGGTATAGTTCGCTTGTGGACTACAGGCCACAGAGTTTGTTTTTATGAATATATTACTATATTATTGATTGGTCTTATTTTTGTCCCATTTCTTCTGAATGTCGTTAAAGTTTCAGAATTGTAAGCATGGATGAATGTATAAGGGGTGGGCCTTCTCGGCCCTTGCACTGCAACCTACAGCGGTCTATTGTGCTTCCCCTTTTGATTATCCCCTCAGCAATCCTGTGCTTCATTCGAAGCACAGGATTTTGTATGTGAGGGCATCAGAATAGTCACTTGGTTCCATAAAATATTGATCCAAGTGATGTAATCTTAAA